CTTTTAATAAAAATAATAAAAATAATAATAATAATAATAAGTGCTCCGGGACGCTAACCTGCGCGAAGGGCGCTCCGTAAATGGAGGCCTAATGATTATCATTATTATGACACCGCAACGTCAATTTGACCGTGTACTTCGCGGGCGGAACGCGGCGGCCCAATCGCGCACAGCAGCGCCCCCACAAACAGCCGTGGATTGAGGGACCAAATTAGTAGTTTTATTTAAGGGATTATTCCCCCCCCTCCGGTAAAGCGATCCGCCAATCGACTAACGACCGGCTTCCTTACTTGCCGCTGGGTAAGCAGAGGCGCGCGGGGTAAGGGAACCGGCCACGGGCCGTTGAGTTTTGACGACACATTGGGACGCAGATTGATGCTGTTTTCTCTGGGTCTTACCCTGAGACTCACGGTCCGGTCTCTCCTCTCGTTACCAGGGCCAATGACACCGGCCTCCTCTCCTACAAAGACCACTTGCCCGTGACCCAGTTTGTCTTCGGGGATCTGAACAGGACGGATTCGGAAGCCGCCTACAGACTGGGACCTCTCCGCTGCTACGGGGACAGTAAGCGATGCCCTTTCCTCTCAGCGTGTGCCTCGTTCTCTTCGACGTCGTTTGCGTTGGCTGGAGAAGAGGGGCGAGGGGCGAGGGGCGAGGGGGAGGGGAGCGGAGGGGAAACTGAAGCGGGAGTGTCAGCTTGAACGTGCAACGATTTTGCCCCCTTGTTCTTTCTCACTCTCTCTCTCTTTCTCCCTCTCTCAGTCCCTTCGCATCACCCCCTGAACATCTCCTGCCCTCTCCATCTTCACCCCCCTCCTCGCCCCTGAAGGCCTTCCTCTTCGATCGTGTTTACGGTCGCCTTCCCCCCCCCCCCACCCACCCACCCACCCTCTCGGCTCGGGATCAGGCTCCGCCATAGTCAAGCGCTCCGGGACCGGGCCCTGCGTGAGGGGACGCTGTGTAAATGCAAGTTGTTGTTGCTGCTGTTGTTGTTCTTGTCGTTGTCGTCGTCGGTGCTGATGACCTGACTTCCCGCCCGCACAGGAAGCTACTGGAACGCGGCCTCCTTCAGCTCGGGCTCCTCGTACCTGCACTTCCCCACCTTCCGCGGCGAGCTCAGCGCCGACATCTCCTTCTTCTTCAAGACCACCGCCTCCTCGGGCGTTTTCCTGGAGAACCTGGGCATCAAGGACTTCATCAGGCTCCAGCTCAACTGTGAGTGGTGCCTCCTCACCCCAACCCCCCATCACCCGTAGCCTGCACCCCAACCCTCGCCCTCAACTCTCCCCTCCACCCTCAACTGTTAATGGGGTTCAGGTGCTTCCCCACCCCAACCCCCGTAGCCTGCACCCCAACCCTTTCCCTCAACTCTCCCCTGACCCCCTTTCCTCCCCTTCCGCAACCATAGCCTAGCCTTCTCATCTCCTCCCCCCTCCCTCTCCCCTACTTTCCCCTCCTTTTCCTCTCTCCTCCCCACCCCCAACACACACATAGCCTGGCCCCCAACCTTTCCCCTCCCCTATCCCGCACCCCTCTCCTCCCTCCGTTCCGCTAACACCAACCTCGCGGAGTTCCATAGCCTAGTGGTCAGCGCCCTCGCCTGGCAAGCGAGAGGACCCGGGTTTGATTCCCGGGAGGGTCGGGTCAGGGCGAAACCTTGGGCAAGTTTCCTTACACCGCACACACGCACACACACGCCTCTGTTTGCCAGCGGTAAGTAGGAACCCGGTCGTTAGTCGATTGGCGGATCGCTTTGCGGGGAGTGGGGGGGTGGTGGGGGGTAATAACCCCTCAAAAAGAAAATAATAATAATAATAATTGGGGTCACTCAAATCGCTGCTGTATGTGGGACACCGCTGCGAAAGTTCGGTCGCCTCCTGTTCGGATCGATGCGATCGATTGACACCCCCTCCACCCACCCAACCCCTTCTGCGACCTCTTGCACCTCCCCCCCCCCCCACCCACCAGCTCCGACAGAGGTCACCTTCTCCTTCGACGTGGGCAACGGCGCCCTGGAGGTGGGGGTCCGATCGCCCTCCCGGCTCAACGACAACCAGTGGCACCACGTGCGAGCCGAACGCAACATCAAAGCAGCCTCATTGAGCGTGGACCACCTTCCCAGAGAGACCCTCAGCGCTCCCGGGGACGGGCACGTCCACCTACAACTCAACAGCCAGCTCTTTGTCGGTAAGTGGTTCAAGCCTATCCTTGGGGGTGTGGGGGGGGGAGTTGGGGGAGGTTATCGAATCGTACGGACGAAGAAGGAGGCCATTCGCTCCGTCATCCATCTTCGAAAGAGCCACCAACTCGTCCCTCTTCCCCGTTCTCTCTCTCTCTCCCTCTCTCCCTCCCCACCCCCCACCCCACACCGCGGCAAATGTGTCCCACCCCCTCCCCCAAATATCTATCCGCTTCCATCTTGAAAGTTCGGCTTCCGCCGCCCTTTCAGGCAACACGTTTCCAGATCCCGACAAAACTCGCTGCGCGAAAAAAATAAACCGCTCTCCTCGCCTCCCACCTCTCTGGTGCTATCGCACCCCTCCCCTCCCCTCCCCTCCCCCCCCCTCCGACTATCTTTTAAATCGATCGGTAAATCGGGGCCCCCGTTGGGAGCTGAACTGGCTCCAAGGCGACATGTTTGGCAAACGGAACGACGGAAAGATGAACCAGAGTATCAGGCGCAGGTTGGCGAGAGCCAAGGCTCGGGGGGGGGGGGGGCAGCCTTGTGTTGGGGGGGGGCAGTGTGTGTTGGGGGGGGGCAGTGTGTGTTGGGGGTAACCGCTGGAGTCTAACCGGCTAAAACCGCAATAGCTTTCCCATCGAGAGCGCTGCTGCTTGTCCAGCCAGGACCACCCTCCCTGTTAGTTAGGGCTTTGGCTGAGGGGGGAGGATTCCCTGCCCCCAGTGACTGGTCGCGGCCCTTCCAGCTCCTGCCGATGAGCCGAGCCGGCCGGGGCTGGTACTGCCATCAGCAGCGAGTGCCCTGGAATACCGCGGCCCCCCGCCCGGCTCGGGCACCGGGCGGGTGAGACCGTCGACAGAGGAGCGGTGCTCGATTTCCGACCGAGTGTCTGGAGCGGAACTCTGCGCTCCCGAGACACCGCCCGGAGAAATCTTGGAAGTTTGCTCGCGGAGCCGGGCACGTCAGCAGTCCGTGTCTCGCGCTGAAACTCCCTTCGGATTCGGGCTGGCAGTTCTTATTACTTCGGTTGTTTTTCCTCGTTACTCCGTGATGTACAACCCTGTCACTACTGCGGGCAGATTAGTTAACGCAAAGCAATGTTGAAAGGTGAGCAACACCCTCTCTCTCTCTCTCTCTCTCTCTCTCTCTCTCTCTCGCTTTCGCTCCGAGCCAGGCGGATCCGCGCACTCCTCACTTAAGACGCTGTTAAGCACGGTGACCACCGCCGCCCCCACCCCCCACCCCACCACCCTCCTCCTCTCTCTCTCTCCCCCCTCCTGCTCCCTTTCAGCTCCCTCGTCAAACTCATCCGCACGTTAATTGAATCGTAAGACCCCCCGCCCCCCCCCGGTCATTGAGTTGAGGCACACATCAGCCGTGATCTAACAGAATAACAACTTGCACTGATGTAGTGCCCGTGTCTTGCGAGGTAGCGTCTCGGAGCGCTCAGCAGTGGCGGAGACTGATGGGAGGAGGTGACCGGAGGCACGGTCGAAGAGGAAGGTCATCAGTCATCATCTCGAAGAGGGGAAGGAGGGAGCAAGGAAGAGGGGAGGGAGAGGGAGAGAGAGAGAGAGAGTTTCCGAAGCTTTCGGGGCGCAGTGGCGCTGCACAGGCACAGGGAGTGAGTGAACCGTTGCTGTTTAATCTGTTTCACTCGCGCACAAAAAAGGAGAGAGAGGCAAAGCCAAGGGTGTAATCCCGGGAATGGTGACACCTTTATCTTTGCCATCTATCGTGAAAGAAAGAAGTCGTTTAGTTATAAGGACGGCGATGTTTAAACGAAGTGGCGGCGGCGTGGGGGGGGGGGGCGCGGAGGTTAACGGATGCAAGGCAAACCTCGCCAGTTAATTAGGATGAGACAGTGGATGGGCGGGAGGATACCGGTGTGGGTTTGGACTTAAGAAGCATTTGATCAAGTGCCTCATAAGAGGCGAGCGAAGTCTCTCGGGCAAAAGCAGGCGGTGGTAAAGTGGGCAATAAATTAGCCGAACTGCAGCGAGCCAAAGCCGGAGACGGATGGGGCTGACTCTTAATTGGGCAGCCCGGCTCACAGAACACCCACCCCTCACGTCAAACCCACTCACACACATCATGCTTATATATATATATATATACATATACACACAAGCGAACACACGCACACGCACACACACACCCTACACCCTTCCGCCACACGCATCAAACGCACCCGCACGTCAGACAAACAGCAACAGCTCGTGCTTACGTGCGCTGACGCGATCCGAGGCGTCTGACCGACGCGATAAGGCGCTATACGCCGAATGCCAGGGTTATCATTGTCGCGCAGCGTCCTTCTCGACGGACAGAGTTCCTTCAAAGGCTACGACAGAGACACGATCCGAGCGTTTGAACTAATGGAAAGATCAGAAGGCTGTCGTCTCGAAAGAGCGCGTCGGGATTTTCAACTCGCGCTTTTGGTGGTGGAGGGGGGGGTGGGGGTTTGGAGTGCGGGAGAGGGCGCGTGAGCTGTATTGGCGGAGAATCGTGGATTGAGGAAGTTTGTCCCCCAGCGCAAGCAAGGCTGCAATGTCTGCCATCAGGTCGGCGGTGGTGGGGGGGGGGGCGGGTTGGGGTGGAGGTTGAGCAGGAGAGAGAGAGCGTCCGAACGACACCCTGTAACGACCTGACTCGCTTCTCTCTCTCTCTCTCTCTCCGTGATGATACACGCTCTTCACATCGCCTCTGCGCTGTTGATTATCGAGGAGATTTCAGCCTGGTTGTTTTTTTCTTCGCTCTATCTCTCTCTCTCTCTCTCTCTCTCCCTCCCTCCCTCTCTCTCTCTCTCTCTGCGGCGAGGCGCTGGAAACTGTTAATAATAAAATAACAATTGATCCTTCCCTGCGGAGAAATGCTCAGGGGGCAGAAATTGTACGGAGGCATGTTTGCACTCAACCATGTCTGTTTCATTTATTGTGTGTTCCCTGCGAATTTCAATTAGGCGACCGCGTGATTCATGGGGCGACAGGAAAAATAAGCACTCGGCAGATACAAAAAGTCCGAATATAAAAATATATACCTTTTAAATATTATATATATATATATATACAGAGAGAGAGAGAGAGTGATTCCAGGGACAACACAAATAAATGTAATAAATGTAATCCATTCCAGGCATCACAGTGCCTCGCGGAAATAGATTTCCACGGCATCAATAAGTAATTGGATTATTTACAGATAACAAAGAGCTTTCTTCGCGGGGACCCGGTTGCACGAGAGATACTAACACTGAACTGTACGGCGATGTGTTTGATCTCATCGGAGAGGTTGTGATTTTTTGTTAAGCGGCTCGTGTTTCCCCCCCTCCCCCACCCCCCCCCACCACTCGCCAATGCGCGGCGTGCGGTTACAATCAGAGTAATAACGATCCTCACGTTCGATTCGACTGGACTCGACCTCTCGTCACGTCTTCGAGACGTCTCAAAGCAACCGCCGGAGCGGATTTGGTTGGTGCCGAACTGCGCGCGGCGACGTCCCGCAAACAGTCGTGGATTGAGTGGCCGCGCTTATTTTGGGAGGTTGGGTGAGGGGGGGTTGGGGGAAAGAGGGAAGGATTAATCCCCCCTCCCCACCCCCCCTGGAAAGCGATCTGCTCAATCAACAACAACCGGGGTTCCTGCTTACTCACCGCCGGGTAAGCCGAGGCGGGCGGGTGGAGCGAGGGCGCTTGCTTTGGGAGCGGAAGCCTCGGGGACGTACCGATCGCAAGGACTGCCATCGTTGTTCTTACTAATAGCAAAACGGTCAACCGTGGGCGGACAGGGCAGACGGATCTGGACTCTCTCGAACAGGCAGGTTTAGACCGTACAGAGGGCCGGACGCTGCGCGCTTATCTCGGCAGAGGAAACGCCAGGACAAAGTAAGGCCGGCCAGCGAGCGACCAGCGCTAGAACCAAACCCAGCCACGGCGAGGAAGCCCTGAACTCGAACAGGCCAAGCAAGTGCTGTGTCAAAGCACAGATGGCTATCGGGACGGTTTACGCTGAGTCTACGAGGCTGGGAGCCAAGCCATCCGAGACCAGGCTGACTATCAATTACCCCCCCACCCTCCACCTCCCCCCCCCACCCACACCTCCCTCCACCGGATAAAATCCGCCATTCACTTCGCGGCAGAAAGTTGCATTTAGGTCTTGACAGTCCTCGCTGTTTCCCTTCGGCCGGACACCTCGAAGGGCTTCGCGGCGTTTTATTTCAAGGGAGAGAGCGAGAGAGAGAGAGACTTCTCCCTAAGTCATGGCCGTGAGCTCAATTTAGCGTCTCATCTGAAGGACGGAGTGCCTCCACACAGGTGGAACAGACTTGAGGGGCTGAATGGCCTCCTCCTAATCCGACATAGCTGTAACCTGGGGACGGGGGTTGATACGTGACCCGGGGGGGGGGGGGTGGGAGTGGTGGGCGCGAGGGAGGTTGACGTGTTTTTGACCTGCGACCTGCGGAAGTTTTGACATGTTCTTGACGTGTTCCGTGTCGGCTGCTCTGATTCCCCCCCCCCCCCCCCCCCAGGGGGACGGCCTCGAGGCAGAGGGGTTTCCTGGGCTGTATCCGGTCCGTGCGGCTGAACGGGGCGAGCCTGGACCTGGAGGAGCGAGCCACAATGACCCCCGGGGTAACGGCCGGCTGCCCGGGGCACTGCAGCAGCTACGGCAGTCTGTGCCACAACGGGGGCCGGTTGTACAGAGAGGCCCAGCGGGTACTCCTGTGACTGCAGCCAGTCCCCGTACAACGGGCCCTTCTGTAAGGCAGGTGAGCGGTTCAAGTCCAGCCTCGACCACGAGTAATTAGAATGACAGTACGATGATATTAACGCAAGAATAGTAATATAAATGTAATAATAATATTATAATAATGATAATCACGATAATAACATATACTTGAACACACTTAATAATGACGATAGTTATACTATATGCTCACACACGCTTAGTGATGACAATAATAATAACGACAATAACACTATGACAACAATGACAACAATAATAATGTGACAATAATATCACAATAATAGCAATACTGACAATAGCAGTAATAAATACTGCACAGTGACAACAATCACCATAAGGATAACTATGACGACAATAACAAAAATAATTGTAATTAATAGCAATGTACGACTCGGGTTGACTTAGGTACGATTGACGAAGATAAGACTTAACGGGTGGGGGGGGAGGGGGGTGGGTTTACTGCAGTTGTTTGCTGATGTTGAAACGAAGCCCCATTTTGTTTTTGGCGGTGGGGGGGGCGGTGCCTGGTAGAAATCTCCGCATTCTTCGACCTGGGCGCCTCGCTGACCTACACCTTCCAGGAGTCGTACGGGATCAGCAAGAACCTGAGCGCCCACCTGTCCGCCATCTACACCGGCAGGACCCCCTCCCCAGAGAGCACAGCCTTCGCCTTCCGCACCCTGACCGCCCCCAGCCTCCTCCTGTACGTGGATTCCTACCGGCAGGAATATTTGGCCATCACGTTGCTCCAGAATGGTAGGTCACGTAGCTTTCAGCCGCCTCGCCCCCCCCCGAAACCCTGGAACATTCTCCCTCTGTCGATCCCTCCGCCTCGGGCCCCCCCCCCCCCCCCTTCTTCCCCATCTTCAGGCCTTCCAGTTTGACCGTACCTACGGTCACCTCCCTCCGACCACCCCCCCCCACCCCACCACCACCACCACCACCTGGAGCGTGGTGGCCGGGGAGTGGGGTGGGGGGGGCTGGGGCGAGAGGCCGGTGGAGGGTGGGGGAAAAGGGCGATAAGTAATTCAATAATATTTGGCGCAACGCCTTATAAAGTCGTGGAGACGCCTCGAAGCGCTTCACAGAATATACGGTAAAGTGTAGCGACTGCGTATTTTGTGGGCGAACCGCGGAATAACTTCCTGGTGTTTGCCCTGAAATTGCCCATTTTTTGCTGCTCTAAACCCTGTGTCCTCTTGTTATCCGGGGGTGGGGGGGGTGGGTGGGGGGGGGTCTGTGGAGGGTTGGTGTGTGTGGAGGGAGGGGAGCGTGGAGGGGACGCTGGATGATGCCGGCTGACTCCTAAGGAAGGTCTTAATATTCACAGCCGAGCTCACACTCGGTTTCCTTTTTATTGCTGCGTCTCGGAGCACAGGGAAAAAGGGAGCGTTTTATTACAACTCATCCTCCTGGGAACCACTCGCCCTCCGAGCTCCACAAAACTCATCTCCAGCCTCCCGCTGGCTGTAGCAGCCATGGGATGATAGGTTAGAAATAGGAGAGAGAGAGAAAAAGAGAGAGAGAGAGATATTGCGTTGCCAGACATCCCGAGGTCACCCGAGTGTCTTTCAAACCCCCACATCCCTCGTCAATTCAAAACAAGATTCCACCTCGCGTCCCATCCCTCGCGTTTGCTCCTCCGTCCTCCTCCGTAAGATCCCTCAATTAATGCAGTAATTAAACTAGTAATAATGCCCAATAAGCGACCGTCTGCGGGGTCGCTGCTGTGCGCAGTGGGCTGCGCGTTTCGCCCACAAAACATACAACAACTACAACAACTTGGATTTATAAGGTCTTCAGCAGAGACCTGAAGGTAGGAAGAGAGGGGGTGAGGCGAAGAGAGTGAGGAAGAGAGTTCCAGAGCCTCGGGGCATAGTGGCTGAAGGCACGGCCGCCGAGGGTGGAGCGGAGGACTCGGGGGACGAGGAGGAGGCCAGACCCGGAGGAACGAAGGCAACGGGTACTGTTTTGAGGAGAGAGGAGGTCAGAGAGGTCGGGGGTGCAGAGGAGTGCAGGGACTTGAATAAAGAGGTGAGGATCTTGAAATCGATCCTCTCTGGGACAGGCCGAGTGCAGTCTGGCCAGGACTGGGGGATCGGGGAGCGGAGTTTGTACGGGTGAGAATGCGGGCGGCAGAGTTTTGAATGATTTGGATTTTATGGATGGTAGTGGATGGGGAGACCGCGAGGAGGGCATTAGAGTATCCAGCCGAGAGGTGACAAAGGCATGGACCAGGGTTTCAGCGGCTTTCGGGAGAGGTATTGGGGAACGGGCGATGTGTTGGAGGTGGAAGAAGACGGTGCTGGTGAGGGACCGGATGTGGGGGAGGAAGGATAATTGGGGTCGAACCTGACGTGTAGGTTGCGTATGGGTTCAGAGAGTTTTAGGGGGAGGTCGGGTAGGTGGAGGAGGTGAGAGCTGTGAGAGTTTAGACGTTGACAAGAGCCAAAGAGTATGGCTTCCGTATTGTCAACGTTCAGCTGAAGGAAATTTGCGCTCATCCAGCCCCTGAGATCTGACAGCCAGACAACATCAGGGGACTGGGGGTCGCAAAGAGAGGTGGAAAAATAGAGTTGGGTGTCGTCGCATACATGTGGAAATGTACCCATGTCTGCGGATGACATCCCCAAGAGGGAGCATGTAGATCAGAAAGAGGAGGGGCCAAGGATGGATCCTTGGGGTACCCGCAGGTGACCGGGTGAGAGGGGAGGAGAAGCCGTTTGTGCAGATGTACTGCTGGCGGTTTGTGAGGTAGGACTCGAACCAGGCGAGTGCGGTCCCACTGAGGTGGATGACGGAGGAAAGGCGGTGGAGGAGGATGGCGTGATCGACTGTGTCGAACGCGGCGGAGAGGTCCAGGAGGACAAGGAGGCAGAGGGAGCCCTGGTCACAGTAGAGAGGAGTGTCGGTGACTTTCACAAGCGCAGTCTCTGTACTGCGGGCGGAAACCGGACTGGAGGGGTTCGAAGAGGGAGTGGGAGGAGAGGTGCGCGCGCGTTCGTTCTAGGGCTTTTGCGAGGAAGGGCAGGTCAGAAATGGGGCGGCAGTGGCTGGGGTGCGAGGGACCTAGGGAAGGTTTTTTTTGAGGAGGGGTAGGGGGGGGGGTGAGGAGGTGTCCCGCGATAGATAGCGCTTTGAGACGCCGCGGCGACGCGAGGAGAATGCCTCGCGGCACTACACGAGACAGACGCGCTGTGTGTGTTTCGGAGGCGAAGCGTGGCCGGTATCTCCACACGATGCCTCAAAGGGGCCTTTGCTGCGAGGAGGCGATAGGCATCGCTGCACAACGAGCAGTATCACAAACTGCAAATGTCAAACCGGCGCCAATCGCTGCTGCTTTTCTGCCTTTGGTACATTTTATTTCGCAAGTAGATTTCATTAAAAGATACTTCCCTGATAGAACAGAAGAAGGGGAGGGGGGCGGGTGGTGGGGGGTGGGGGGGGGGGAAGGTGGGGGAAGAGAATCTCTCCCTTGACGTGTCTCTCTGACACGCTGCTCGTTTGAAGACCAACGTGTGCACACGCAAGATGCTGCTGCTGTCGTCGTGCGTCTCGAGCCGATTTCAGGATTATTATCGCCCCCCCCCCCCACCCCACCCCCCTGTAAGAAACGAAACGGTAATGACCGCTGAAATCCATCAACCACTGACGGTGCGGAGGTTACATGGGGGAAGAGAGGGATCAAACAGCCGTGGATTGCGCGACCAAATCTATTTATTCTTTTTGAAGGGATCGATACCCCGGGTCCTCTGGCTCTGCGAGGCGAGCTCTCCAAACACCACATGTCAAGCCCCCGCAACCCGATACACCATTCGATAGCACGTCGCCTTCGGAAATGGTGGCAGATTTCCTTTCGGGGGTCTGGGGCGAAAGGCAAAGGCTGTCATCTTGTTTCCCTTTATCCCAAGCGCTGCTCGGCTGACAGAAGCAGCTTTGCTCAGCGGGACAATCTGCCCCGAGTGCAGTCAGCTGTCTCTTACCTGTGAATAACGAGCGAGCAGGCAGTACGCTGACCTGATTGTGGGCTGTGTGTGTGTGTGTGTGTGTGTGGAGTAAGGAAACTTGCCTAAGGTTTCGCTCTGACCTGACCCGCCCGGGAATCGAACCCGGGTCCTCTCGCTTGCGAGGCGAGCGCTCTAATCCCACCCCTCCCCATCTACAGGACTCCACCACACGTGGGTCACACGTGGCTGCTGTTGAGACGAAACAACGACTGTCTAAAACCTCACCGTACCATTGGTCCCGGTCAGCGTCGCAGTTACAGCCGCGCTGGGGGTCCAGGCAGCTCCCGTCCAGTCCACAGCCACATTCCTGGGACCCGGGGGTCGCGCCCCCCCAGTACGTCTGCTTCTCGTTGGTCCTCCCAATCCACCACGTCAACGGGGTATCACCTGGGGGGTGGGGGAGAGGGTGGGGGTAGGGTAAGGGGGGAGAGGGGGGGGAGATGGGGGAGAGCGAGAGAGGGAGAGAGGGGGAAAGAGGGCGGAGGGGGAGGGTGGGGGGGAGGAAACGATCAATTGAGGATTCTTTTGGTCATCAAAGACGGACTCGACGCGAGGCTGAAGGAGGAGGCTAAGGGTAATCCCATGATTGCTCCCCTGTTGTCAGCCTCCGTCACTCGCGCTCGCTCGTCATTGGGGCAGGAAGGCACAGGTCTGAGCTCCCACATCGAGTGACCTTGAGCTCACCGTCAAGGCCAGGATGGCCCAACCGCCGACCCGCGGGCCGCATCCGGCCCAGTGTTTGATGTCGGCCGGCCCGCAGCTTTGTTGTCCGACCAGGAAGTACAGGTGACGCGCAGGCCCTGAGCCAATCTGGAGACAGTCAACCACGGTCTCAGGGGTCGGTCAATCAGGATAAAAATATTCCTTATGAGAGGCCCGCGGAAGGTTCTCAAATCCGGAGGCCAAAAGGTTGGACAGTCCTGGGCTAAGCTGAGGCTCCAGTGCGGCGCTGGGAGGTGGGGGCGGTGGGAAGGAGAGGGTTGAAAGCTTTGCGTTGTTAAATGAACCCATCCTTTGGATGAGACTTTTCAACCGGGTGGACATTAATCATTCAGAGTCCTCTGGAGTCCCGTAGCTTCGCGGTTAGAGCGAGAGACCTGGGTTCGATTCCCGGCGGAGCGAAACCATAGGAAAGCTTCCTTACTCCACATGCCTCGTTTACCTAGCAGGATTATTATTATTATTATATTGTTTTGCGTAGTTTGGTCAGATTATGACGAACTTCTCCGCGACGGCTGCTGAGATAACAGCCTCTCGCACTGTCACGTTCGATTAGCTTCAGCCCCAGGGCTGTGGGTTCTGTTCTGAAGTCGCAGTTGGTTTGTGCGCTTTAATAATAATAATAATCCTTCCATTTGATACAGCGCCTTATTCGAGACGTCTCAAAGCGCTTCACGGAATATACTGTAAAGTGTAGTGACTGCATGTTTTGGGGGCGAAACGCGGCAGCCAATCGCGCACAGTAGCGTCCCCACAAACAGCCGTGGATTGAGTGATCGGATTTTTTTATTAAAAAAAGGGTTTGTTACCCCGGAAAGTGATCCGACTGCGTGATGGGGGCAGACTGTGCCCCATCAGGGCAGCACCCCCTCCCCATCACCCCCACACACCCCCGCACCCCCCACTTCATAAACCCCACCCGTCCAATTCAACACGATCCCACCCATTTATTCTTGACGCACAAGCAGAGGCCCAGAGCCCGGCTTATGAGCTCCTGACCCAAACTCCTGCAGTGTCCCACAATCAGCCGTAAAGCGAGCGGCAAATTTTTTCTAGGGGAGGGGGGGAACTGTCAGCCAGGACACCGGGAGAGAGAGAGAGAGAAATCCCCATCTCTTTTCCAATAATGCCGCGGAATCTTTAACGTCCACCTGACCCGGCAGAGGCTGGAGTTTGGTTTAACGTCTTACCCGAAAGGAGGCACCTCCGTCAATGCAGAGCTTCCTCCCGCCCCGCGCACCCCCCCCCCCACCACACCTTAAACAACAAGTTACATTTACACGTCGGGAGGATGTCCCAAGGCGCTGGACGGTCAGGGATTTGGACCCGAGCTGGGAGTCGGGATCAGGAGGAGGTGGCGGACAGGGATAGTGGGGGTAAGGAGGGTGACCGAAGGCGCGGTCGAAGAGGAGGGTCTTGAGATGGGTCTTGAAGGAGGCGAGGGAGGGAGGGAGGGGGGCGCCAGGCCGAGGGACCGTGGGATGGAGTTCCGGAGAAGCTGGAGGGGCGGGTGGGGTGGGGTGAGATCAGAGAACCAGCCTACACACAGCTGCGTTTGAGTTTCTTTATTAACTCGAACACCCAGTGAAAGATCAATCTGCTGTCTAATTTATTTTCTCACACGCGGTGGATTTAATGTGTTACATATGGGGAACAGGCATTGAGAACACAAGTGGCTGAGTGAATCAAAATGCCCAACACCACATTTGCTGGGTTCAAACCTAATTGCAGTATTGTACGGAGACAGCTTGCAATCTACTGGCAACACACAAGTGATTGAGCATCTGCCAAGGCACAAGAAAACACCATGTTGTAAGATGTAATAGAGCCCTATGTTTGATACAGACGTCGCCTTTCACATCGGGAGGATGTCCCGAAGCGCTTCGCAGGAGATTCGCGGTTGTCCCGGAGCTCGGTGGTTAGATCCCTTGCCCTCGCAGGCGAGAGGACCTGGGCTCGATTCCCAAACAGGGCAAAATGTCGGGCAAGTTTCCTCACTCCCCGCCCTCCCACACGCACGCGCCTCTGCTTTACCCAGCAGTGAGTTAGGAACCCGGCTGTTAGTCGCTTGTCGGATGGCTTTTCCCGGGATAATAACCTCGTAAAGATGTTATTGATAAAAATAATAATTTGGTCACTCCATCCACGACTGTTTGTGGGGCGCTGCTGTGCGCGATTGGCCTGAGAGCGAGTAAATCGTGATCTCGCGATGGTGAGATCCGAACCTTTGCGTGCGTGCGTGCGTGTGTGTGTGTGGGTGCGTGTGTGTGTGTGGGTGCGTGTGTGTGTGTGGGTGCGTGCGTGCGTGTGAGAAATCGCTGTGAATAGTTTTAACGACAGAACTTGCCGGGGGCTGACAGTTATATGAGTTAGTGCCGCGGAAACACAGTCAATGTTACGGGGTATTCTTTGATGGCAGCTTTGCTGCGCTCAGTTCCCTGTTGAGGAGAGACAGCAGATGGTACATTTGTATGTATGTATATCTATGGCTTTCCTGACTCTGGGGATGACACACAGTGCTATTCAAAGAATTTTGGCACAGCTTAAAATGCCCGACTGACATGAATGCGGGGAGGGGGGGGGGATAATGAAATTAACCCAAAGCCAAGGGAGGGGGGTGGGGGGGTAAACCACAGCCAAACAAAGCCCACAACCAGCCAACCCCACCCGCCCTCACCGAACACGGCTGATCGCTAACAAAACACGCAGTCGCTGCGTTTGACAGTACATTCTGTGAAGCCCTTTGAGACGCCTCAGCGAAGCGATAAGGCGCTGCATTAAACGCGAGGATTATTATTACTACTCTTAGTATTATTGCTGAAGAGGGGCTATTGCAATGGGAGGTTGAGGCGGACGGCTGTTTGTCAGGTCGGGGTATCAGGGGACAGGGAGCAAGGGGCGGGTGATCGGACTTGAGGTGCAGATCAGCCACGATCTTAAGAGAACGGCGGAACAGGCTCGAGGGGCTGAATGGCCTCCTCCTGTCCCTGCGTTTCTGTGGAGTCCGGTGGTGAGTGACTTGTGGGGACAATGGATCGCTGTGTGCAAATTGGCTGTCGGGTTTGTTAACAATCCGCAGGCACTGCACTTGACAGCGATTACCTGGCAGGTGTGTGATGTCTCGAGAAATGTCTCTTGGAGCTGTATCGAGCGCCAGCCACGGTTGCTATTGTTTTTCTTTCAACCGCAAACTCCCAATTATTTTTCCACCAACTCTCTCGTCACTTGGGCCCCTCGAGGGGTTGCCGAGATTCAGGCAAGAAAAGCAAAGGTTGCGGTCCCAACCTTTTTGTCTCTGTCAGCTCACGCTCTCTCTCTCTCTCTCTCTCTCTCTCGCGTGCGCGCCTAAGGGAAGTGGACAAAGCTTTCCGGTGGCGGGGAGTGGCGTCCTACAGCATAGCGTAGCGGGTTTAGAGTGCTCGCCTCGCAAGCGAGAGGACCCGGATTCGATTCCCAGGCGCGGTTAAAACCTTGGGCAAGTTTCCTTACTCCGCTCACACGCCTCTCTTTGCCCAGCAGTCAGCAGGAACCCCAGTTTTTAGTCGATTGGCGGATCGCTTTTCTGGAGGGTAATAATCCCTTCGGCCCCCCAAAAATAATAACTGGGTCACTCAATCCACGGCTGTTTTGTGGGACCTGTGCGTAACTGGCCGTCGGAAACAGATCAGGCGCTACATCAAGTTGAAAGGATCCAAATCATTACGACGATTATTGGACGACGAGAGCGAGAATGGGCGATTATCACGTTGGGATTGCCGTGGATTTCAACCGGACGACTCCCTTCCGAACCACAAGAGGAGGCAGGAATGTTACGTGCGGTTGGGATTCAACGTAGGCGTCCGTAAAAAAAAAAAAAGCAAAAAAAAAACACATGGGACTGTGAATTAGAGCTGCTCTCTAATAGAGAGATGGGTCCTTGATTACCTCACCCACAAAGGCAACTCAACCATCTGCTCTCATTTATAACTCCTGTTTGATGATGCATGGTATCAATGGGTCGGCAATTATAATATCTGGAACCTGTCCAGTGAGCCCTGCAACTTAGTTTGAAAGATGGATGATCATCAAATGATTGTTTAACACTTGCGCGGTTTTCCGTTGACGGCCGTAATGCGGATCAATTCACCCTCGAGGACGGCCGTTCCCAAGGACGTTGCCTTAGGTGACGGTGGGCGGCTTGGGGCTGGTCGGCATCGTCTTACCGATTACTTTACCGATAGCGTTGGATCGAGACATCAGCTTGTTAATAATAATAATAATAGTCATATTATTAGAAGAATAACGATGGATTTTTGCCGTGGAGGATTGCAGTCGCTGTTGGGAGGAGTGAAGGGACTTTCTCTCTCTCTCTCTCTCTCTCTCTCGCTCGCTCGCTCGCTCTCTCTCTCTCGCAGTGTACTGGCCGACAATTCGCGCTTGCTTTTGGGAGGTCGCTCGACGCTGTCTTGATCGGCCGTAAGATATACGCAGTCGCTACACTCGAGAGCCAATAAAACTAAACCGTTCAGTTCATGGCTTGTTTAGGAGCAGAGAAAGATAAAAACAGGAGGAGGCCATTCAGCCCCTCGAGCCCGTTGCTCCATTCTACAAGATCGTGGCTGAGCTGTACCCCTACTCCAATTTCCCGGCGTTTGCCCCGAATCCCCTTGGTACCCCGACCGAACACATGTGTCTGTGCGGGACGTTGCTGGGCGCACACCGGCTGCCACGTCAGCCTACCAAACACACGGTCACTTCACTGCAGAATCACGTGAAGCACTTCCGCGACCCTTCAACGATGATAATGGCAATGCGCCCGTACCAAGATGGTGGCGATTATTTCTTGCTACGATTCCACTTTAAGCTCCTCGAGGTGTTAAGAGGAAAGTGGATTCAAATTGTTATGTTAACATCATTCTTTTCTCCACCGTCCCCCCCGCCCCCCCCACCCCCCACACACACACGCAACCCAGTAAATTGGACCTGATAGCTTCATTCATCACAGGAGCTCTAAGCGGAGAATATTCATTGTAAACTACATCCCTCATCCCTCGGTTCAAGTATAAATCTCTCTCGCTGTTTACCCACCGAGCCAAGTGTTTGGGCGGGGAGTGTGGAAAGGAGGAGGGAGGCGGTGGGGTGGGGGGGGGGGGAGGAGGTGGGGGTTAAAGGGGCAGAACTGGAATAATGAGCTGACACAATAATTACCGTTCAACGTCACACACGAGCCCGACCTCTGCAACGCTGCAAAATCACCTGCGTTCCCAACGCGGGAATGTTGTTCATCACTCCTGGCCAGGAGATAGCAGGCACGGCCCGGCCCGTGTGACAACCCTGTGTCACTCCTCGCTGCTCTCCCCAACAACACCAGCCACAAACCACGGCTGATTCAGAACTCCGCTGGCCGTATTAAACCCCATTCCCCCCCCCTCCCCACATCACCCCAGCCCTCGCCAGGCTCCACTGGCTCCCTATCACAGAACGGATCAATTTCAAGGTCCTCTCACTCGTCTACAAATCCCTTCGCCCCCTTGACACGGGACCTCTAATCCGAAGGACGGCACCTCCGACAATGCAACTCACACACCGCCCCCCCCAGCACTGTACTGGAGCGTCAGCTTAGACTGTGCGATTCAAACTCCCGATGTGGAGCCTGAACCCACAACCTTCTGACTCAGAGGAGAGCGTGCTACCAATGTAGTAGAGGGAGGGAGAACGAGAGAGAGACAGAGAGAGAGAGAGAGAGAGAGGGAGGGAGTGAGAGAGAGAGAGAGAGAGAGAGCGAGAGCGAAAGAAAGAGTGAGTCAAGGAGGGAATTTTAATGAGCAGCGGAGAAAATAACCTCTCCCATTGAGGGAGGGAATTAACTGCGTATCTAGTTTATAATTTTACGCACTTGCAAGGATAAAACACCCTTAGATTCACAGATGAATGGACGGAGTTTATGAGGGGAAAGGAATGAGATGCATCGAAGTCAGCATTAAATTACTGCCGGCATAAACACTGCCAGTAAATTGCGTCCGAAGGTATAAATCAGTCACTTAGCCACATTTTTATCATCAACAATTTTGCCTGGACTGACGAGGTATTTGCTTGCGGGAGGCGGGGAGCGTTCAGCTAATACTTAAGGACAACCGAGAAGCTCTCTTTTTTCCTTGGGTTAGCCTAATGGGCTGTTAAGTGCTGAGCTGCAGTTTCAAAGCCCAGTCAGACGAGCAGAGATGCAGCGTCTATCTGCTCGAATCAATTACCGAGTGTTTTTTAAGGCAATCTTTCCTGGCGAGAGATTGTCGCAAGGCTCCAGTGATGTGCTGGTGGTGGGGGGGGGGGGGGCAGGGTGGGTGGTGGGGGGGCGGTGGGGGATGGATTGTTGGAGGTGCCGTCCTTCGGACGAGGCGTTAAACCGAGCTCGCGTCTCGTCTCCCGAGCGGATGCCGAAGCGTTTCGCTGGACGTGCAGCAAAGTTTAGTGACTGGGTGCGTCGCAACACCCCCCCACCCCCCACCTCCCGCGCACCCCACAGCGCCGCACTGGAGAATCAGCTTAAGACTGTACGATTCCAAGTCCTGGAGTGGGGTGGGGTGGGGGCTCGAACATACGGACCTTCCGACGACTCGAGAGGCCAGAGTTGCAGGGGGCGGGAGGTCACTCAATCCACGGCTGTTTGTGGGGGGGGGGACGCTGCTGTACGCGTTTCGCCCAGAAAATACGCGGTCAATTCGTGCAGGTATTATTATTATTATTATTATTATTAGCTTCCTGCTAATAGTGGGTCTTTTGCTGCGTCTAATCGGAGCATTGAAAGCGCTCGTCACTTTGTTTGTGAGTGGCTATTTGCGGCTGTGATTTGTCAGCTTCGCCGCACGAAACCTCGCTCCAATTGACTCCCCGAGCGCCGGGGGTTGGTGGCGGGGGGGGGAAAATGAAAAGAACTGTCTAACTATATTTGATCCAAGGATCTTTTTTGCCTTGTTTTGTCTCTGGGTAACATGTATTTTGCAGCGCGAGTCAGAGAAAGAGAACGCTGGGCTGGAAAGGAATGCTGGCTACGGACGCTTCTGCACGACTGTGCGGCGGCACAAACAATACGTCAACTCTCGATCTCAGCCCAACTAAACCTTCTTAGCCGAACGCAGGTTGCAGCCCGGCTCAGTGGGTATCCCTCTCAGCTCCGATTCCCAGGTGTGGGTTCGAGCCCCGCGTCTTGAGCTCACAGTCTAGTATGACGCTCCGATACGGCGAAATGTCTGTGCCTGTTTAAGCAGGGCCATGATCCTATCAACGATGCATCCTTTCATTGGATAGATGCAGCCCCTTAATCGCGTCTCAAAGCGCTTGGCGGGGGGGGTTCTGTGAAGCGCGCGGGAAAGGTGTCCAGGAACTCGCGGTCTTATTTCTGAAGGGGGGAAGAGAGGGTTTGTCTTGCTGGTGTTCTGGCCGACAATCCTCTCGGGTTAAAATACGGTAATTCGCTTGGGCTGCTCTTCGTGGGCCTCCGGCTGCTGTGTGCAAATTGGTTGACAAAGCACAAATGTCCACACGCACAAACACGTCAGCCGAACGGGGCCAGTGACGGCAGCTTGAACTGTCCACATCGTCGGACCCCCAAAAAAATACCGGGGCAACTCTGAATCTTGACAGCTTAGTACGAGGATGTGGGGGATTTCGTCTGGGCACAGGGTGTTCCTATCTAAATATCCCATTAAGAACTCGTCTGTCTGTCTGTCTGTCTGTCTGTCTGTCTGTCTGTTGATGGGCAAAGAGGGGGTAAGGCGGAGGGACTGGCAGAGGGAATTGTAAAATATTTGGGTGACCAAATCATTATTTATTTATTTATTTGTTTACAAGGGATTGTTACCCCCGGAAAAGCGATCCTCCAATTGACTAACAACCGGGTTCCTACCAACTGCCGGGTAAACAGAGGCGTGTGCGCGTGCGCGGAGTAAGGAAACTTGCCTAGGGGTTTCGCCCCCGACCCGCCCGGGAATCGAACCCCGGGGTCGTTGCTCAATCAACTCAAACGTAATCCGATTCCCCACCTCAGCCGTTAACTAACAGCAGCAGCAGATGACGGTCACACAGCGCCCTTTCACGTCACGGAGGATGCCCCAATGCGCTGGACAGTCAGGGATTTGGATACCGAGCTGGGGGCTGGGATCAGGAGGTGGGGGGGTGGGGGTTGGAGGGCGGGGATGGTAGTGGGGGGGGAGGGGGGGTAGATGCAGTCCAAGAGGAGGGTCTTGAAGGAGGCGAGGGGGAGGGAGAGCGAAAAGCGTGCCAGTTGCCCTACCGGGGGTGCTGAGGAGACGTGACCTTCTGCAGTGATAGGCTACGTTCTGTTCGCAGTGGTCCATGCTGTCGATCAGAGCTCGGAGCTGCTCCATGTTAGCCGTGTAGCTGAAGTGCACGAGCTGGGGTTTGCCCGCGCTCGAGCCTTGTACCCGTGTCAGCTCCGTGTTGTTGTGCTGCACCACGGTCCAGGTCTTGTCCTCTGTTAAAATGACGACAGCTCGCGGTTACTACAGTGACCCTTCAGGCCGAAGGCCTCTCGCCCACAAAACAGGGCGGACGGGAACCTCGGCTTGAACGTCTGGCCCGAAGGCTGGGGGCTTATGGCGATGCCACACGCACCCACAAAATTCGCCCCCTAAAATGATGCGGCCTTTGCGGTTTATCCTGCGAGGCGTTTTGAGACAACTCGGAGACGCGGCAAGGAGCGCTGTATCGAATGCAAAGGATTATTATGGTGGTGTGGGGGGGGGGGGTCAGCCTAGACTATGCCAGTTCGCCAGTCCCCGATGCGGTGGGGCTCGAACCCACAATCTCTATGTGATTTCCATCGATTTCTCTGCCCCACACGCAGCACGCACCCCCCCCATCCATCCATACTCTGTATTCTCGAGTCGGGTGACTGGTAACCTTATCAGAAATGCCATCCACACCTCAAGGAAAGGTAAATATTACAATTTCTGACCTTTGCCGAGTTTCACTCAGTTTATGTCCCTCGGCAGTAAACCATCTCTTTGAACCCTCGCTTGAATCTAATCCGACCGGCTTTAATGCTTTCTGTGAATTTTCCTTCGGGGAAGGATTTATCGTGCTTTCCTCAGGACAACAATGAACCCTCCCTCACTCCCCCCCACCCGCCGCCGCCGCCGCCGCCTCCCCGCGCACAGATAAAATTGGTCATCCACTCCATGGCTGTTTGTTGTGGGTTCAAATTGGCTGCCGTGGGTCCCCTACAAAACACACAGTCACGCCATTTTAGAGTAAGAGGGAGGGTAGTGCAGGGTAGAGTCCCATCATCAGCTCAGCCTGGCAGGACCTGGAAGGACAGACCAGTCACTGGGGGGGGGGGGGGGGGGGGGTGGGCAGTGAATCCTCCCACTCAGCTCCCGTTAACCCCGCAAGCCACCGCCCTAAGGGGTAGGGTGGTCCGAGCCGGATGAGCAGCCGGAAAGCTTTGCGGGTTTAGCTGGTGAGACTCCAGCAGCCGCCCCAGTGCACGCTCTGGGCTCCCCCCACACCCCACACCCCCCCACCCCCCCCCACCCCACACCCCCCCACAAGCCTTGGCTCTTGCCAGCCTGCGGGTGAGTTTACGGGCAGCAGAGTCTTGGATTGAGTTGGGATGGAGAAGCCAATGCAACTGGAGAAGATTTGTTTCAGGAAATAGGATAGTAAGAGGAGGAAGGAAGGAAGAGAGAAAGGGACAGGTGAGCCGTGAGTGCAGGCGTTTAAAAGCTTTTTAGATTTACTTCCATTCAAAACTAAGTGCTCGTACTTATGTTAATAACCCGCAACTTTACATGGTAGGTCATACTGCTCTCCTGATTTCCGTCTAACTTTGTCCCTGGAATATTAAGTTTTTTTTTTCTTCTTCTTCTTCCCCTGCTGCGTGACGGTGAGCGAGTCGAAAAAAAGCACCGGCCCAGTCTGCCCAGGAGACAGGAGTCTCCGTGGACCTGCCGATGGAACTAAATGTCATTAGCGCTGCGCAAGACTTCACGGTGTATCGGAGCCAGGTGTCAGCCTGGCTCGCTCGGCAGCTCGCTGGGCTATCTCTGCCTCGGAGAGGGGGTTGTGGGTTCAAACCCTCGCGAGTCGGGACTTTGACCTTGCACAGGCCGGGACTGACGTGGATAAGGCGCCCCTTGTCACGTCGTCGAGGCGTCTCAAAGCGCTTCGCAGAATACGCTGCGAACTGGAGTGACTGTGTACGTTGTAGGCGAAACGTGGGCGGCCAATTGCGCACAGCAGTACCGTCGAGCGACAGGACTCTGATGCCCTAATACCCCGACCCGTCGCTCTGCGCACTCTATTAACCCCGGAAAACCGATCCCCCAACTGAGACGCCTACTGACAACCGGGTTCTTGCTCACTGGTAGGAGATGCCTTCACGTTAAGAGGCTACAAGCCGAGCAGCCCAGCGTGTGGGTGCACTGAATCGGGGTGTTAGGACTCCAAGGAGAATTATTTTCAGCTCCGCAGCAGAAACCTGTGGTGCTCAAAGCACAGGCTGAGCTCATCACAGTGTGTCCTCCCTATACCGACCTCAAGGGGTCTGAATACTGACACCCCAGTGATCATAATAATGCATGTATTGTGTGTGTGTGCATTCAAGGATTATTTATATGGGGCTACACCCCCCCCTCAACTCCTCCAGCCCCCTCCCAGTCCACTTTCTGCTCCCCCTCAGCAGGTGTTTTTCACCATCGTGCATTTCAGCCTCTTGCAGAGTGGAGACGGGAAGGTTATTACACCACTAATAATAATAATAATAATACTAATAATAATTTTTGTAGGTGTTCCGCCCACAAAATACACAGTCAAGACACTTTACAGTATATTCTGTGAAGCGATGATGACCTGATGAGGCGCTATGGATAATAATAATCCTTGCATTTCCTATACGGCGCCTTATCACGTCTTCGCGACGTCTCAAAGCGCTTCACGGACTATCCTGGAAAGTGAATCGACTGCGTATTTTGTGGGGCGAAACGCGGCGGCGTTTATTATAATATCAGAAGCAAAAAAAGGACCCTCCTCACCTGTCATGTTGCAGTAGACGAGGAGTGGTCCCAGAGGTCCGCTACCATCAGGGTCGACGGAGAAGAAATCTGACGGGCTCCCTTTATGTCTGTACGCCTCGCACGACTTTTCGTACAGAGCTAGTGGCGGAGGGGAGGGAAAGAAACAGGAGTTATTTCAACCTGTATCCGTGATAAGGGCAATGTCTCACCTGTCCTGTCCGACAATCCCACCCACCCCTCTCCCCGCCCGCCCCAGATAAAATCGGCCACTTGCTTCGACGGCTGTTTGCCGGGCAAATTGGTGGCCGCACAGCGCACGGTCACTGCAGTTCACAGAGAGACTGTGAAGCGCTCTGAAGGGAACCGTTGTAATATTAATAATAATAATAATAATGATAATGATAATGTGCGCAATTGGCTGCCGCGTTTTGTCCGCGAAATACGCGGTCGATTCGCTTTACAGCGTCTCCCCCCCCCCCCCCCCCCACCCCCGAAGCACTTTGAGACGACGTGAAGAAGCGGAGGGATTTTAATAAAAGCTGCTCGCTGGCCCGCCGATGTAAGAAGACAGATCGGGGACTTGCACGCATGAGAGACCTGCTGGAAACCAAACGCATTGGGCATCGGTGCGTGAAAATTGATGTTCCTCGCATGTCTCAAGGGCAGTGAGCAACAATCTAACACTTGCCTTGGATATTCGCCCCCGCCACGCGCCCACAAACACACACGCCGCGCGCACACACACACACGCACTCTCCCTGAAATGCGACGCAATTTGCATTTATGCATTTACATTCATGCCCCGAGGACGTCTCGCGTCACAAAGAGCTTGACGTTGCTGGCTGTGCTGTGCCGTGGTGGTGGTAGGGGGGGGGTGGGGGGGGGCTGGTGTGGCTCGGCTGGTTCGAGCACTCGCCTCGCAATCGTCTGACAACCGGGTTCCTACTTACCGCCGGGTGACCAGAGGCGCGCGTGCGTGCGCTCGCGCGCGTAGACTAAGCAAACCCGCCCACGGTTTCTCCCCGAGAACCCCCCCCCCCGCCGGGAATCGAACCCGCGTTCCTCTCGCCTGAGCTCCAACCCCTACGCTGCGAGACCCCCCCCCCCCCCACCCCTCCCCACACACACTTTTATTCCGACTTTGCTTCTCTGAGCGCGGGGAAAACGGGCGGGATTCCTCCCGTGGGTTCGCCCGGCCCGCGTCTTAAAATTAACGGCGTCCGATAAAGAAAAAAGGAAGGAAGCGGGAAAACCTCCGGTCGCCTCTGCGACGCGGAAGGATTTATCAGTTAATTTGTTTCCAGAAATCCAATTACAAGCCCGGCTCCCTGCGCCTTCCAGTAAACTGTCTCGCCCTCTAATAGACTGCGAAAATTAATTCCCCCTCTCTCCTCCTCCTGTTGTTTTGCTTCGTGCGAATTGTTTGGAGAAGAAAGAAAGAAAAATAAGATGGAGAAGAAGGAGGAGGAGGAGGAGGAGGAGGAGGAGGAGGAGAGAGAAAAAAAAAAAGACCCAAATAAATAAATTTAAGCGCGAGATCGGAATCATTTCTGTTTCGCTTTTGCTTAAACTTTCCCATTTGGGGCGGGCGTTGATTATTTTTTTTTGATGCCTTTCGCCGCGTGTACTGTCGAGGGCTCGTCGTTTAAGGTGACGTTCCGACGCAGTGCTGGGGAGGGGGTAGTGGTGGTGGTAGGGGTGGGGGTGAAAATGGAGGGCAAGGAGGATAGGGGATGGTAGTTTTTTTCACCTGACGTGGTTTGCCATCAATACAAACCTTCCCTTCCCCCAAACTCTGCGCTGGATCATCAGCCCAGACCGTTGCTGCCGCATTTCGCCCACGAAATGTACAGTCACTCCACTTTGCAGAGCGTCCTGCGAAGCGCTTTGAGACGTCTCGAAGACGTGATGAGGCGCTGTCTCAAAAGCGAGGATTATTCACTCACTCACTCACTCACTCACTCACTCACTCACTCACTCACTCACTCACTCACTCACTCACTCACTCACTCACTCACTCACTCACTCACTCACTCACTCACTCACTACGTCTTCGAGACGTCTCAAGGCGCTTCGCAGAATCTACTGTAAAGTGAATTCACTGCATATTTTGTGGGCATCTCAAAGCGCTTCACAAGAAATATTTCCTTGAGGCGTAGTGACTTGCCTGCCAGGGAATCGAACCCGAGGTGCGCTCTCTTAACCACTCCGCTACCGGACTCCACCTTGAGCTTCGAGAGCGACTCGGCTTGGCGGGTTCAGCGCGAAAGGGGGTTCGCGAGCGTTTGAGGAGCCGAGCGAGAAGCAGCACTGAAGTCGGAAGCCGTCAAAGGCAAGCGAGGGAGAGGAGTTGAAAAGCCGAGGGTCTGTGCATTGGCTCGTCAAAGGGCTGGGAGGAGATGAAGGAGATTTAGAGCAATAATGCGCTACGAGGGGCAGTGAATGTCACGGGAGCTGAGGGCTCCTTATCTGCTGGATATTGACACGTAGAGGGTGAGATTGACGAGAGCACTTCCAAGGCTGGATAATGAGTAGAAGGCGCTTGATGTGGAGAACAAAGAGCTGGGAACCGCTGAGTGCTTCGAGACGGGAGTCAACAGCATGAACTGTCGACTGGGGCAATGGTAGAGCCATATTAGAAGAAATTACTGTACGTCCAGACGTGACTTTAATGAGAAGAGATTTCGCATCAGCAATGTACCACATAATAATAATAATAATAATAATCCTTGTATTTGGTACAGCGCCTTCTCGAGTGGTCGAGGCATCTCACAGCGCTTCGTAAGGTTTTTCCGTGAAGCGCGGTGATGACTTGCAGCGTCCACGCAATCCGCTTGGTGCTGTAACGCGAGCCGGCAGTGAGCGGGTGGAACCAGGCTCGCCCAGGGAGATGAGACGGCGGAAGCGGAAAGCGCCGTGTGTTTCCAGAACAAATTGGGAGAGATTTCTGCGAGAAAATAAGACTTCGGGGATACGGTTTGGGACCCGTATCGCTGTGATGTTATAGACATTCAGCAGGTACGGATTTCGGAAGCCTGCAGTTACGTTAAAGCAATGATCTCCGAAGTAGAAGCCTCACCAGGGGAGCTGACATTATTTATTTATCTGAGTGCGTCAATGCCGTGTCTCACTTTCCAATTAGACCTTTTCACACGGAACATCCTTCCCTGTATAACTCTCCTCGTCCCACCGCCTTCCCCACCTACTTCCCCCGTCACCCTCGTGGCTTCCCCATTTTCAGGTCGAGCTCTGAACACATCTTCTTTGTTCTAAATTATTAAGAACTAACAATGAGTTGAAGCTTACAACCACACGCAATACTCCCCGCATTTGATACAGCCCCTCGTCACGTCTTCAAGACGTGGGGCGACCAGATGCTTTTATTGAAGGGATTATTCCCCCCTCGGAAAAGCGATCCGTCAATCGACTAACCACCGGGTTCCTACTTACTGTTGGGTAAACAGAGGTGTGTGTGTGTGTGTGGAGTAAGAACCTGCCCAACGTTTCACCCTGACCGGGGAATCAAACCCGGGTCCTCTCGCTCGCGAGGCGAGTGCTATAGCCTTCAGCTCCCCTCTCGACTCTCTACCCCCTCCTCGCTCCCTCGCTTCCCTCCCCTCACCCTGACCATTTCCCCCCCCCCCCAATGCTCGGGTCCTGACCCAACTGTACAAGCGCCTTGGGACGTCCTCCCGACGTGAAAGAGGAGAGTAAACGAGACGCGGAGGTACTCACATCTGTGGCAGGTCTCCCCGGTGTATCCTGTCCCCGTGCAGTCGCAGTAAAAAGTGCTCCAGGATTGCGAGCACTCCCCCCCGTGCTCGCAGTAATTGGGCAAACACCTACAGTAAGAGAGGCAGTCAGAGATGGGGTGGGTGGGTCAGAGGAGAGAGCTCCAGTGGGGGAGCGAGCCCCAGCACGGACACGGTGGGGGGGGGGGGGGGGAGAGAGTAGGGGAATGGCAAAAGGAGAAGGGAGTTTCTCTCTCTCTCTCTCTCTCTCTCTCACTCAGTGTCCCTGAGCTATTGAGTAACTGACTGTGCGTTTGGGTGCGAACGATTTATTTTATTGAAGGAAGAGGACTACAAACTGGACAAAAATAGGTTCCCCGCACACACACACCCCCACACACACACACCCCCACACACACACACCCCCCCACACACACACACTTTACAGCCCCTCGAAAACGACTCAGACTGCGCCACCGGTGTGGAAACCGCGCTAATCCGCGTCGAATCTCCGGTTAAAAGCGATGGCTCTTTCACTCTCGGTTCGCCTGTTGCTTTGCGGGTATCATTCAAGGACAACACTCATTAGGGCACGTCTCAGTTCTCCGCACACCGGAGTACCGCGTCCGCCTGTGGGTGAGTCAGTCCGTCCCGTGTTATTGGAACAATTTGCTGCGCTGTCTCTCACCTCCTGTTGTTCCTGCTCTCTCTCTCTCTCTGATAATAATAATAACAATCCTCGCATTTGATATAGCGCTTTTCACGTCGGGAGGACGTCCCAAAGCGCTTCACAGAACACACTGTAAAGTGAATTGACTGTATATTTGTGGGCGAACGCGGCAGCCAATTGCGCACAGCAATGTCCCACAAACAGTCGTAGATTGAAAATGACCAATTTATTACTGTTTTGGGTTTTGGAGGGATTATTATTAGGCTCTGTGTGGAGTAAGGAAACTTGCCCGAGGTTTCGCCCTCTGCCGGGAATTGAACTCAGGTCTCTCACTTGCAAAGCGAGTGCTCTAACCACTGAGCTACAGGACTCCACTACGCTTTAAGGGCGCGATTAGGGGCTGCGCTGAACGCCGGGGCGGGCGGGTGGGGGGGGGGGTTATATACCTGTCCAGGATGCCACACACGTCGATGTGCAGGTCGGTGAAGTTGGCCTGAGAGCCTTGTCCGGCCAGGTTCAGATCCACCGGTTGATTATCGATCAGTATGAGCCTCATGCAGCCTTCGAAATTACCGAAGCCGTTGGAACAGTCGGCGCTGCTGGCGTTTTCGGGGCAGCCTTTTAGGGAGGGGGGGGGGGGAAGAAAAAAAAACACGCAATGCACACTCACACGCACACACACACACGCGCGCGCGTGTCAAAAATATAAACACGGGTTGACGTTCAATCGGGACCTCCCTTTTTTCGGGGGTGGGGGTGGGGGGGGGGATGTCAGACGGGATGTCCTACCCGGGGGGTGAAACCACGGTTGAGAGCATCCGAACCCGGCCGTGAATTCCGCGCCTCCATTCCCCCCGTAGCGCGGCGGGGGTTAGAGCGCTCGCGCCTCGCGAGCGAGAGGAACCCCCGGGTGTCGGGTCAGGGCGAAACATTGGGCGAGTTTCCTTACTCCTCTGTTTCCCCGGCAGTAGTTCGATCGGCGGATCGCTTTACCGGGGGTAATAATATAATCATATAATGTAATAAACCCTTCAAAAAAAATAATAATAATTTAACTTGCCGTTATTTACCGAGAAGAAGGAGGGAACGCACGTGGAAGAGGGCAACCGGGGGGGTGTGGGGGCGCGGGATGAGGGTCCGAAGCGACAGAAAAGGAGGGGGGGCAGTCCCGTTACCTCCGAAATAATAGCTGCTCCCGGAGAAGATGGGCGTCTGGGTGGTGGAGTGGAAGGTGGAGGTGCCGTTGTTGTCCAGGATCACGCTGACCCGGTTCCTTCGAGCGTTCAGGCGGACCGAGTGCCACTGCCCGTCGTTCAGGTCGGCCCCTGGGGAAACAAGCGCGAAGCTCGTCAAAGCCAACCCCCGGGCGAGGGACCGCGGAGGGATTGTGGGAAGAGGGGGGGGGAGGAGGAGGGAGTGGTGGGTGGGTGGGGTGGGTGGGTGGGGGGTAAAGGGAGTGGGGGGGTTGTCGCTGAGGATTTTCCTACTCGGCTCCTGCTCCTGCGACGCCCTTCCGAGATGAGGGCGAGGGTAATAATAATTATAACAACTCCTTGCGTCTGATACAGCGCCTCATCGCGTCCCCAGAGCGCTTCGCAGAACGTACGTGAAGCGACCGTTTGTGGGACCGCCGCCGCCGCGCGCTTTCCCGGCCGCCGCCTTTCGCCCGCAAAACACGCGGTCAGTTCACTTGGGCTGTATATTCTGGGAAGCGCTTTGAGACGTCTCGCAGACGGGATACGACGCTCTATCGAATGCAAGGATTATTATTATTATTATTATTATTATTATTGGCCTCGTTGGCCCCTTTTTGCGCGTCTTTTCCGTCCTTAATTGGCTTAATTAATTAATTAGTTGGTCTGCTTTCTTTCTTGTGAGCGCTTGGCTTTGGTTCTCGTTAAGAGGGAATTCTTTTCAACCAACTCGTTCCGCTCGGTCTTCGTCCGATTTCAAATGCGCGACGACGGAGGGGAGGGTGGGTGGGGGGGGGGGGGGAGGGGGAGGAGAGAGAAAGAAAAAATATCCTTATAATTTGCTTCTCTTCTTGTTGTCTTTAATATTACTTTGCTTCGGGCTCTACTTTGCTGCTGTTCTCTGTTCACCTCCCTTGAATTAATAGATATTTCCGCAACGTGTTAAGGCTCGTGCGGTTCGGAGCGAGCCAGAATTTCCTCTGCTGGGGTGGGGGTGGGGGTGCGGTGGGGGTTGGGGGGGGAGCTGTAGCGTCTGTCCCTTTGGATGAGACGTTGAACCGAGTTCCGTGTCTGTGTCTGTTAAAGGCACTGTACCGATTCTCGTGAGTTTAAATGATAAACAAACGATCCTCGCCATTGACATTGCACCAGAGACGCCGCGAGGGGTTGCCTGCGAGGTGTAGTGACTGTGCGCTGTGGGCCAACACAGCACAGCAGCCAATTTGCCCCACCGGCCGCTGAACGAGTGAAGTGTTTCTAAGGGAATGTTACCCCCCCCCCACCCCCCATGGAAATCGATCCGCCGATCGACTAACCGCCGGGTTCCTCCTTACTGCTGGGCAAACACAGGCGCGCGTGTGCGTGCGCGTGTGTGTGCGCGCGCCCGCACGCGTGTGGAGCAAGGAAACACGGCCAAGGTTTCTCCCCCGAGCGGTCCTCTCGCTCTGACCACCGAGCTGCAGGATTTCACGGCGCGGGGAAGGGAGCGCTTTGAGATGAAGCGAAATGCTGTGCCTGGAGCGGTGTGACAGAGATCAGAAGCTACGACTTCGGATGCGGGATCCAGACAAGACCAGATTAATTGGAGGCTGACCCCCACCACCCACCCCTCGCGTTTGCCCGGAGGTGGTGCTTAACTGAAGATGGATCAAGGCAATGTCCCGAGATCCGAGGTGTTAAGTCGCCTAATTATTAAAGCGATCCGTTTGCCCGGATTAACTCGCTTTCACAGACGAATTTACCGGCTCAGCTGCTTCTGTTCTTGTCTGATGTGCTCTCTCCCCACTCCTCTGCTCACTATCCTCCTGGAGAGGGGGGTCGGGGGGGGGGGGTGGGGGGTGTGTGTGGTGGTGGTGGTGGGGGTAGGAAGTCTCGAAGGCAGCAGGGGAGGGGGGTAAGTGGGGTCTACTCAGAGCTGGACCGGACAGTCCTATCGATGGCCAAGCTATGTTGTTTTAACTGGTTAGCGTCCAGCAGTTACCCCCACCCCACCACCCCCCCCCCCACTCCCCTCGCCTCCGCCCTCCAGCCACACACTTTGCCAACCTTCCTCATCGGCCGTACCTTCGCTAATCTTCCGATGGCGCCGATCGAGCTGAGCTGACAGCTTGAGCGAGTTCTCCTGCGAAGCCCAGGCGCCATAGTCAAGGCTCTGACTCTCTCCCCCCTCCCCCTCAAACTCTCATCATCCTTCCCGCAGTCTGTGCCTCGCTCCAGAAGGTAATCGCTAATGAAATTAACGCTGGTTGGAGATTACCATCTCTCCTGCAGGTCTGTAATTCCACACACACCCCCTCTCCCCTCTCCCCCCTCCCCACAGCCCATCAACGATTATTATTATTAGTAGTAGTATTATTACTATTACTATTACAATTACTATTATTATTACAACAACAACTTGGATATATATAGCGCCCCCCACGCCGGACGGCATCTTACTATTATTACTATTATTGTTCCTATTATTGTTCCTATTATTGTTCCTATTATTGTTCCTATTATTGTTCCTATTATTAATATTCCTATTATTATTATTCCTATTATTATTCCTATTATTATTCCTATTATCATTCCTATTATCATTCCTATTATTATTAACTCTCTCCGTTACCTGCTGTGATGTCGGCTTGGCTCCGCGAGGATTTCCGGATGTTGCTGCGGAGTTTCCCGTTGCTGATCCGGACGCGGAGAGCCCCGGCTGTCCCGGGAAGTCGGCTGTACAGCAGCAGTCCGTCCCCGTTCCACGTGCGGAACTGGAAGCTGAGCGACAGCCCATCCATCCGGGGCCGCCCCGGGAGCACCAGGTAACTGCCCGAGCTGCCAAACGTCACCGGCACCACCGGGGCCTCCCAGCAGGAGAAGCTCACGTTCCCCTGGGGATGGGGGGGGGGAGAGGGCGTTCGGGGGGGGGGGAGGTGCGGAGAGGGGGAGAGAGGTGGGAGTGGGGGGGGGAGGGAGAGAGGGGGGAGTGGGGCGGGGGGAGAAGGGGGAGAGTGGGGAGGAGGGGAGGAAAGGGGGAGAGGAGGGAGAGGGATAAATAATAATAATAATGTATTACAATACAATAATACTTCCATTCGTTGCTGCGCCTTTTCATGTCGTGGAGACGTCTCAAAGTGCTACACGAGGATATACGGTCTTACGGTCACCTCTCCCCACCCCTCTCCCCCCTTCCCCCCCCACCACCCCGCCACCCCACCTCTCCCCGGCTCGGGGTCAGGCGCCATCGCTGTTAAGCGCTCCGAGACGCGACACCGCGTAAAGCGCAAGTTGCTGTTGCTCTTGTTTACCCCTGGAAAGCGACCGATCGGCCAGACGACCGACAGCCGGGCTTTACGTGCGGAGCAAAGGAAGTTTAACGTGGAGCGAAATTCCACGGAAGGAACTATATCAGCGCTGACACTCGATCAATCTGCAGCCAAGAGAGCAGCGAAACATCACCGTTTTCACGGCCTAACGTTTCATCAGGAGAGCGAACGAGTGGCTCAGTAATCGAGCAGAGTGGATTAGCATTTTAATGGACAATTAATCAAAATAATTAAACTTTCTCTTTACTGCCCCGTCCTCGGGAGCGGCTGAAATCCTTCGTCGGCTGACGGCCTTTGATACGGCGCCTTATCACGTCGGCGAGACGTCTCAAAGCGCTTCGCGGGGTATAATGTAAAGTGGAGTGACTGTGTATCTTGTGAATTGGACCCAGGTCCTTCTCGCTTGTGAGGTTGATGCGACGAGCGACTGCCAGGTTGGTAGAAGGCGAACGAGATGGACCTTGTTTTTTTGGGGGTCTAGAGATTGTGTGTGTGTGTGTGTGTGTGTGTGTGTGTCTTTGCATATGGTGTGTGTGTGTGTGTGTCTTACCAGGACGTGTATCTGAGGTTTGTGCCTCTTGGCCAGGTCGATGATGTTGACCCCGTTGTAGTAAAGGTTTTCCAGGCAGCCGCGGAAGTTCTTCCTCAGGAAGGTCACCGACTTGCCAGGCACCGGGATCCCTCCGAAGCTAAGCTTTGGGGAAAGATAAGGAGACGCGAGAGTTACTACCTCACGCAGCCCCCCTGTCGACGTGACACAAACCGGTAAATCACTGCAGCGAAGGTGTCAGCTCACGGTCTAATAGTGATAAAAATAATAACGATAATAACAACCCTTGCATTTGATTTAGCGCCTTATCATGTCGTCGAGATATGAAGCGGATTAACTGTGCATTTCATGGGCGAAACGCGGCAAACAGGTTGCGAAATGAGTGACCGTATTTCTTTTAGTTGGAAGGGATTATTAACCCCGCCAGTTGACTAACAAGCGGGTTCCTACTTACTGCCGGGCAAACAGAGGGTGCGGAGTAAGGAAACGTGCCTAAGGTTTCGCCCCTGACCCGCCCGGGAATCGAACCCGGGTCCTCTCGCTTGCGAGGCGAGCGCTCTGACCTCTACGCTACCGGGGCTCCACCTCATCACCTTATAAAAGTACAATTTGAAAGTCTGACGAGGTGGACTTTCGGGCGCTGAGCAGAGAGAGAGAGAGAGAGAGAGAGAGAGAGCAGTAAGGAAAACGAGCTGAATTTCGACGCACTTTAGCAAATGCGTCGAAGCCGTTCTACGCTTTGTTTGTCGCTAATGCGTCAAAAGCGGAAACGTAATCACCTATTCGCATGCAAATAAATGCATGATTGCTTTAGGAGGATTTGCCAGGGCACAGTCCCTGCGAAGAAACGAATGTTCCCAAATGTTCAGTCCTTCTCAATTTGCGTTCAGTTCTGCGTTGGTATAATCACTCCACACGCGCGCGCGCGCTGCGCTCTCATTGTCGCATTATTTTCTTCCGCATCCGAAGAATTAACAGCCTTTTTCTTTCCAGATTGAACCGCGCTGCCAAAGTGAAACGTGCGGTTCGTTTTAAATCGCTTCCGGCACGTGAATATAAATATATACCGCGTGTGCGTGAAAAGAAACGCACGCACACGCGCGCGCACACGCACGATGAAGTTGGGTTTGAGTTGCCGACCGCGTCAATCAGAACGCGTCAACTGCGGCGTCAGTGTGACTTACTATTCCCCAGTTAGTTATTCCTCTTTACTGCCGGGTTAACAGAGACGTGTGGAGCGAGGAAACTCGGCCTGAGGTTTCGCCCTGAATCGAACGCCCCCGGGGGGAATCGAACCCGGGTCCTCTCGCTTGCGAGGCGAGCGCGCTAAGCCGCCGCCCTCCGGGACTTCCGCGCTTAATCCTGCGAAGCTCTTTGAGGACGCGTCCTCTGGATGCGTCCATTTTTAACGTGCATGGAGGCGCCCGGCTGCGTCCCCAAAAGCGGCCGGTGGGTCGAAGCGACCGAAATGATTTCGCGGCTGCGGTTCGCGCAACCGGACTTGAGTACCTCGTAGTCGATGTCCAGGTAGTCGAACTCGCCCCTGGTGCGGAAGTGCTGCGTGTGCTGATCCACGGTGAAGTTCACCTGCTTGTTGTACCGTTCGATGGTGACCGAGTGCCAGTGCTGGTCGTCCAGCAGACTGCCCAGGGTGGCCGAGGTGTGGCCGTTCACCGACTGCAGCTTCGTGTCGCCTGAGAGAGAGAGAGACAGAGAGAGAGAGAGACGGGGAACGAGAGCGTTATGAGCGGGGTGGGGGAGGGTTTCTGGATTGCCAGAGGTTCTGTCCTTGTTATAATGATAATAATAAATAATAATAATAATCCCTGCATTGGATATGGCGCCTTATCACGTCGTTGAGACGTCTCAAAGCGCCTCACGGGACATGCCACGGAGTGACACAGAGTGACTGTGTGTTTTGCGGGCGAAACGCGGCAGCCGATTGCGCGCAAACGGTCGTGAGAGTCGAGCAAGCGATTTTTCTTTTTATTATTAGCCCCCCCCGGCCCCCCGCCCCCCCCCCCCCGGCAAAGCGATCCGCCCATCGGCCAGCAAGTGGGTTAATAAGAATCTCACCCAGGTTGAGCTGCAGGGAGACTTTGCCTTTGCTGAGCTCCAGTGTGATGTAGTCCCCCCTCTGCCCCTCTCCGTGCAGGATCACCCCCTCGCTCTCCGTGCTCCTGAACTGGAGCGAGATCATGTCCTTCACGGTGCTGACCGTCTTCTGGTTGAATCTGTACAGCAGCGAGCTCCGGCCGTCAAAGTCCGCCACGTCCGACTCTGGAGGGGAAATAAAAGGGCGAGGGGGGGGTGGGGGGGTGGGGGGGAGAGGGTCGGTACGCGGTTCACAGGACATCCTGTAGAGTGCAGTGACTGTGTACGTCGTGGGCGAGACGCGGCAGCCGATTGCGCTTTGAGACGTCCTCCTGACGTGAAAGGCGTTCTGTTACGAGAAGGTCAGGTTATTCTCTCGGAGCTCCTGGTGTTTGGTCAGGGAGGGAGGGCGGGAGGGAGGGAAGATGGGAGACAAAGCTTTCTCTCGTCTCCTTCGGTCCTTTCTTTTCGACCGAGCTGTTGGGTAGCTTTCTCTCCCCGTCCCCTCGTCCCGTCGCTGTTCTTCCCCCCCCCCCCACCCTCCAGCCCCGTGAATCTCTTTGAGACGTCCTCCCGACGCGAAAGGCGCTATGAAACTGCAAGAAAACAAAACTGCTGTGGCTGCGCGCAAGTCCCCTTTCAAGTACGCAGTCACTACACTTCGCAGTAAATCCATCCTGTGAAGCGCTGTGAGGGAGGTCTCCTCCTGATGTCAAAGCCCCTGTGTCAAACGTTAAGATGATTATCGTCCTCTCCTCCGGCCGTGATTTTTTTTTGCTGAAAACCCTGACACTCCAACCCCTTCGCGATAAACTTTTTCCAATCCGAAAAAACTTATCTGCGTCCGGAGAGCCGAGAGGTAAATCTCTGTGGCGGTGTACACCGCATTAAAAAGAAAATGAATTAACACCGGAGCCTGATGTGCGGGCTGGGCTGAGGCCGGAGGGAGCCTGCGATCCATTCCATCGCTTAATTGGATAATAAAGGGCAACTGTGTGCATTTGCACATCGTTAGCCCACAAGCTATTAGCCCAAGCCGCGTTTTAGAGCCCCATTAAGGAATTCAACCGCTGCCGCATCCAATATCCGACGGTTCCTCTCTCTGCAACCTCTCGAATGAACGTTCGAAGCTTAACGTCGTTCGGGCGACCCCTTGACGAGCTGAAGGTAATTGGTGGGGGGTTGGGGGGGGGGGGGGTGGCGAACGCTCAGGACTCGACGGCCCACCCCGGGAGGAGCTTGGAGGAGATCGAACCCGTGGGCGCGGGCTGCCTTCGGAACACGGGACTGGTGTTTCTAACCCCTCCGGAGTTCAATTAAACGCTAATTGAAACATATCCCGCGCCCGTGGAGCTTTAGCGGTGAGCGCGCTCGCCTCGCAGAGAGGGGGGGGGGAACGTCTCAAAGCGCTCCGCAGACGATCGGGTAAAGTGAACCGGCTATTTCTTTCTTTATTTCTTTATCTATTTGTGTTACTCGGGGCGTAAAGATCTCGTGCGCTTTGACGGACACCGAGCCATCAATTATTTATCTTCCGTCTTAAGTAATTCATGCCCACCCCCCCTCGAAACCCCTGCCCGTCTCGCCTCCTCTGCCGTCCGGTGGAGTGGTTGCGGTCGCGATAAGGATAACGATCCGCGTCTTCTAGACGTCTCAAAGCGCCTTCGCTCCCAATTTCTGGCTACTGTCTTCCCCCCACACCCCCCCCCTGCGGCGTTGTCTGCCCCACAAAACGCGCGGTCGCTCCACCTTCCAGCGTATCCCGCGCAGCGCTTTGAGGCGTGCGCGACGACGTCGCATCAGACGCGAGGGTCATGAATCATCGCTGCGGTGTCTCGTGAAGCGCTTCCGAGACCCCTCCTGACGTCAGGAAAAAGGCGCCGCATCAGATCTAAAAATTAATCGCTGTTAATTCACTTTTAAAATATATTTAAGAGCGGAGCAGAGCTTATATGGTGGTGGAGGAGAGAGAGAGAGAGAGAGAGAGAGTAACCCTCTGCGTGACGGCCTTTAGCACAAATTGGATTCTCGTGTGTTGTATAAATGTGTGGTTTCATTCTCCCTTTATATCCGACAAATTGGAGCTTTTAAAACGCCGCTTTCTTTATCTCTGATTCGTGTGCGTGTGTGTGTTTGTGTCGGTGCGTGTGTGTCTGTCGGCGTGTGCGTGTGTGGGTTTGTGTCGGTGCGTGTGTGTCTGTCGGCGTGTGCGTGTGTGTGTTTGTCTGTCTGTGTGTGTCTGTCTGTCTGTGTGTGTGTGGTGTGTGTGTGTTTGTGTCTGTGTGTGTGTGTGTACCTGTGTGTCTGTGAGTGTGTGTGAGTTTGTGTCTGCGTGTGTGTGTTTGTCTGTCTGTGTGTCTGTCTGTGTGAGTTTGTGTCTGTGTGTGTGGTGTGAGTTTGTGTCTGTGTCTGTGTGTGTCTGTGTGCGGTGTGTGTGTCAGTTTGTGTCTGTGTGTGTGTCTGTCTGTGTGCGGTGTGTCTGTGTGTGAGTTTGTGTCTGTGTCTGTGTGCGGTGTGTGTGTCAGTTTGTGTCTGTGTGTGTGTCTGTCTGTGTGCGGTGTGTCTGTGTGTGTGGTGTGTGTATGTGTGTGGTGTGTGTCTGTGTGTGTGGTGTGTGTCTGTGTGTGTGGTGTGTGTCTGTGTGTGTGGTGTGTGTATGTGTGTGGTGTGTGTACGTGTGCGGTGAGTGTGTGTGTCTGTGAGTGTGTGTGAGTTCGCGTGTCAGTCTCACTTGAGATGAAAGGCAAAAGATTCCGTCTCGAAATCTGTTTCCAGTTGCCATCTCTCTCTTCGCCCCCCACCCCCCGCCCCCACCCCCACCCCCCGCCCCCACCCCCACGCTCTCTCTCCTTTCTCTCTCTCACCCCCTCATCCTCGCTGCCCCGAATACCGCTTGACGTGTTCCCGCAGCGCTTTGCGGTACCAATCCAGGAACAGTTTTTGTGCAATTGAAAGACGCAGTTTTTTTTTAACCATTTCTCCTTTCATTCCCTCTCCTCGTGACTAGTTTTTGACGACCCGCTTCTAACCCGCCTTTTTGTATCCCCCCCCCACCACCGCCGCCCACCCCCTCACCTCCCCGAGTCTTTCTCACAAGGGTCTGTCTCCATCAGCCTCAGGGCTTAAATCCATTGATTTCTTGAACTGTATCTCTCTGGTTCTCAAAGCGAAAAGAGTTCTGAGGAATTGCGCACTGGACTGAATCGCTGAGGAGTTGCTATCGACTCGCGCTCTCTCTCACCTCCCACTAACCACCCCCCCCCCCCTCCAACACCCTCACCTCCGCAAAACACACGACGGCGGGTTTTGCCCTCCAGTCGTCGAGACAGAAATGGAAAGGGCGATGGAAAAAAAAAAAGATGTTTGTCCAAGAAATCCTCGGATTTGCTGTTCAATCAATCGCCTCTCACCGTCGAGGCTGAGGCACGGATTAAAAAAGAAAAGGGTGGGGCGGTCACGTGGTGGTGGGGGGGGGGGAATTATCGAGGCTGACACCGGTTATCTTGGTTAGATACCGTACAAGGCCTTGAGGAAGTGCTTTGAAGCCACCATCCAGTATAATAATCGTTGCATTTGATTCAGCGCCTTATCACGTCTTCGAGACGCCTCAAAGCGCTTCGCGGGACATACTGTGAAGTGCAGTGACCCTGCGTTTTGCGGGCGAAACGCGGCAGACCGATTGCGCACGGCAGAGTCCCCCCCCCCCAACAAACAGTCGTGGATTTTCTTTTGTTTTTTGAAAAAAGGGATTATTGCCCCCAGAAAACGATGCGTCAATCCTACTTACTGCGGAAGGATTATTCTTAACCAAATGTAATTAAGTGTGTCACGGTTGTCGAATGAACGCTGCACGCAAAAAAGGTTAAATGGACGGTGAGCTGGATTCCGAATGCGCTTGTGTTTTTCGCTGATCTCTATGGTGAATCGCGTCCGGAGCAAGGGAACGTCGGAGCGGTCGTCTTTAAACGTGATGCCGTGGGGTGCCGCACGCCTTATCAGAGCAGGCAGAGTGGCTTTGCCCGTAAGTGCGGCATTCTGTCAGCGCCTCGCGCGTCTCTGTGATGACCCGGTGTGACTCAACGCTGCGCTGACACAGGACCGACGACAACCGGACCCCAGGCAAAAGCAGCTCTGTCTTCAGCAAAGAATATTATCATTAATAATGATAATAATAATAATAATAATAATCCTCGCAATAGATACAGGGCCTTACCGCACGGTTGAGACGCCTCAAAGCGCTTCACGGACGATGCCGGAAAGCCTCTGAAATGTTCAGACACCGTACACTCGCGCACACTCACACACAGACTCACACACACCCTCACACAGACTCATACACACACACACACAAACACCCTCACACACACACACACACAGCCCCCTCGCACAGACTCACGCACAGACCCGCCGCGCACATCGTTGGCTTTGTACTTACTGTAGGAGCAGCCGTAGACCTCCACCCGCATCCCTATCCTCCCGTTGGGGTTCCACTGGAGCGGTGCGAAGCGGATGTACCTGGCCCTGATGGAGTATTGCAGCTTGTGGTGAGCCACCGTGTCTGCGTTGGAGTTCCCGGAGAAGGCCTGGGCGGGGAGGAACCACACACAAAGATGGCACACAGGCTGCGCAGAGCGGAGAACAAGCCCCAACGGCCCGGTGTTTACACGCCACGCGAGGCTTCGCCCACTTGACCGTACGCTTCCCGCCGGGTAAACAGAGCCGTGCGCGCGCGCGGAGTAAGGATAACCTGCTCAACGTCTCGCCCTGCCGAGGGAATCGAACCCAAGTCCTTCCCGCTTGTGAGGCGAGGGCTCTCACCGCCCCCCCCCCCCCCCCCCGAGCTACAGGGCTCCGTGATCTCCTCTCAAGCTCGCCTCGTCTACCCTCGCATCGCGCTCCCCACCTTCTTCCCGCTCAGCGGCCCCCGCAATCTCGTCACGCGAAAGCCGCGTGCGTTCGGTGGCCGTCCGAGGACTATCTGCGCGAGGCGTGCTGCGCCAGGAGCCACGGCATGATGTGTTAGCAATTATTTTTACAGTTCAAGTGAATAATAGGATTCGAATACGCCTGATTATCATTGCGTTCGGCTGAGCAGAAATTTGCCGGGGGGTGGGTGGGGGGGGGGGGGGTTGGGGTGGGTGGGGGAGGGAGGGAGGTGGAGGAGGGGGGGAGAAGGGGTCTGGGAGGAACAAGGGAAATGAACCTTTGAAACACGTAGGATGTGTTAATTACCATCGGGCGGCTAAATCTGATGCACATGATAATTAGCAAGGTAGGTGTTAATTACCGCATAGCAATTAACAGGTACGAATTAATACCGCCCGCGCCCACCCCCCCCACCCCGCCCGCCCTCCTTACATTTTCTCAAGGCTGTTTTGGTTCATCGGCAGGACTTTGGAGGAGCAGATGAGTTGCTGGGCGGGCAGGGAGTCCTCCCACTCAGCTCCCGTTCACCCTACAAGCCGAAGCCCGGATGGTTTCCAACCGGTTGATCGCCCCGAGTCGGCGTCTCAATCAGGACAAGGGAAAGGACCGATATTTCACGGAATCGTGTAACCCTACAGCACAGAAGGAGGCCATTCTGCCCATCGTGCCTGCTCTTTAAAAGAGCTATCCAAGTCATCCCACTCCCTCCCCCCCCCCCCCCCCCGCTCTTACCCCCCTAACCCCGCACACATTTTTCCTTTTCCAGCACCGATCCAATTCCCTCTTGAAAGTTATTATCGAACCCGCTTCCGCCAACCTTTCAGGCCGTGAGTTCCAGATATTTCTGCCTTTTTTTTTAAAAAAAAGATAATTCTCCTCGTCTCGTCCCCCCTGGTTACCGACCCACCCGCCCGTGGAAAGAGTTTCTCCCCATTGAACTATCAAAAAGCCATCGTGATTTGTAAAAAACTCTTATTAAATCTCCCCCTCAACCTTCTCTGCTTACCAAGGAGAACAGTCCCAGCCTCTCTGGTTCCTCCCCCCCCCCCACCCCCCACCCCACGTCACTGTAGTCGCTCGTCTCCGGCATCGTTGTTTACCGCGGTACGATTACATTTTTATTTGGAGAAGAACGGCGGTGGGTGGGTTTCCTCAAAATAAATGCTGCATCCTTTTAGTCTCCAGGGCAACAAACTAATCTGCTCCACTCCACACCCCCACTCCCCACTCGAAATAACAAAAGAGTTTGATGAGAGACTCCAATAGCAATCGCTACTTGAAACAGTCGCTGCGTTTTTTTGCCGGCGCGCGCGGCACGAAAGGTTGACCGGAATTGTCTCGATGGCGCGTAACGCTCCGCGAAACGTGAATCAACGCGGTCCCTATTCTACGGCGGGCAAAAGATTATCGCTCCGAGGCTCTGTGACTTTGACGGGGACAGGATAGTCGACGGGTTAGCAATGATTCCCACTCCTCGGTGAGTCAGTTTCAAGATGGCATCAATCTTAAGAGCGTTAGCCAACGAGCAAAAGGTGGGGGGGGGGAAGGTTAAGGCAGCGGTTCTTCACACGGAGATCAAGGCAGAATCCATGATGGCTTTCCAGACAAATATACCTTCGCAAGAGTCAGCTACAGGGGTATGGGAGGGGGAGAGAAGGGCAGGCGGGTAAATTGGGCTTAAAAGGATTGCTCTTGAGGGAACTGGCGTAGATACGATGGGCCGAATGGCCTTGCCCCCCCCCACACCCCCCCACCCACACACACCCTCGAGTTGTTTTGCTCAGATTCGATTGGGATTAATACATATCAGGATTATGCAAAGGTCAAACACTGGGGCTACAGTTGCCCCGGCCTGTCACATAAACAGACGGGAGTGACAGCAATGGTAGCGGACATGTGTATACATCACCAGATCAATTGGGAGCATTTACGAGCCCTGTTAAGGTGATGAATGATGATCTGGTGAGCTGTTGATATGACCCGAGGCTTGGCAAACGCAAGGTCACCATTAATATTTAACTGGTCAGTCGGTAGCGTTTTCTCTCGCCTCGAAACGATGAGAGATTTTATGTTAGGGTGGATAGGGAGAAACTCTTTCCTCTGGCGCGGGGGGTGGGGCACAGAGGACACAGATTTGAGATAGCTGCCAAAAGAATCCGAGGGGGGAACGAGGAGAATATTTTTTTTTCCCCCCAGAGAATTGGATCGCGCTGCCTGAAAGCTCGTAAATTTAAGCCCCACGTGTGGGGGGGTGTGGGCTTTGAACTCATGTCCAAGCAGACGCTCCAGAGCGGCTCTGGGGCCGGTGGGGGTAGGGGGGAAGCTTGGGTGAGAGATTAAACCGAGGGCCTCTCGATACAACAGGGATAGCAACACCGATTTGCATTCACGCAGCACCCTTGACACAGAATAGCTTGCACGGTGGCGGGTTTGGACGGCGAGTGAGAGGGAAGAAATAATAATAATAATAATAATAATACCGGCGTTTGCATTTAGCCCTTTATCACGTCCTCGAGACGCTCTCAAAGCGCTTCGCAGAATGCACTGTGAAGTGACCCGACTATGTTTCTTTGCGGGCGAATCGCGGCGGACGATTGCGCACAGCGGCGTCCCCCCCACAAACGGCGGTGGATTGAGTGACCGAATTATTATTTCACTTGTTTATTTTTGGAGGGATTATTACCCGCCCCCCCCCTCCCCGTAAAACGACCCGCCAATCGACTAACCACCGGCTTCCTGCTCCCCACTACGCTACAGGACTCAAGACATAAGAAAAGAGGACGACCGTAAGTGCAAGCGACGAGGGAAGTCTTCAAGACAAAAAGCTTGACGCTGGCCACAGACATTTGCTGACGTTGAGTGTTGTCAAAGCTCTCAATATCAGAGGCAGGATTGTCAGCCTAAGGGGCGAATGACTTCAATAATTATTCAGTGTCGATGCAGGTTTAATTCTCTCCTGATGCGTTTGACATCTGAGCCCTGAGAACACGGCCGGTGCAGTTAAAACGATTAACATTATGATCATCCATTAAAATTATATACAGAATAATGGACAGACATAACAGCTCACTTAAGAGGCACCCAGGCGTTAAGTCTGCACCGCGGTGCGAGCTAGGACGTTTGCGGCCCTGCGAGGAAAAGCTTCGCTCGTCTGCCGAGGTCACAGGCTCGCAGACATCTGTCACGTCAACCTGTACCGCTCCCTCCGCTCAGCAGGCTGCGACCTGCTCCGTGATCCCCCCGCCCAGCCTGGACAGTCTCACCATCGGAGGTCGGGCTTTCAGGCTTTCTGCCCCCACCCTTTGGATCTCCATCCCACGTTCCCTTCGCCTTCCTCCCTCCCTCCCTCCCTCCCTCCTTCCTTCCCTCGCCTCCTTCAAGGCGCGTCTCAAAACCCTCCTCTTCGACCGTGCCTTCACCCACCCTCCTACCCTCCCCAAACCCAACCCCCCCAACTCGGGTCCCAGATCGCTGACTGTCCAACCAACGCCTTGGGACGTCCTCCCGACGTGAAAGGCGCCGTGTAAACATCATCTGTATGACATCTATATGCCCGGACCTGAGGACTTTCTCCCTCCATCCCACCTCAACATGGAAATTCCCATTATACTCGGCGGGCATTTCTATGCTTGCAAATATCTCGGGAATTTCCATGTGTAATAATAATCAGAATAATAATCCTTGCGTTTGGCGTCGCGCTTAATCTGGCTGTTGAGACGCCTCACGGCATTTCACGGGGTATACTTTGTGAAGCGAGCGCTCTACCCACTACACTACGGGACTCCCGTGAACTTTGATATTGTCATCAGAGGTGACACACAATAAAGCGATCATAAAGGCATAATATTGCATCTTGCAACCTGGCCTGTCGCGAATTCTGTCTGTTGAATCAATGCAAAACTCTATATCTTTCTATCTCGGCAATTGAATGACTTGTTGAGAAAAGAATACGAGTGACTTTGGTTCCTTCTCTTCTCAGGTTCCTGACGTTCTATTTTGGCTAAACAGAAATAAGCCGATCCTTTCTGGCTGCGCTTTTTCTCCCACAGGCTTCAGCAGAATGGTAATAATAATAATAATAATAATAATAATAATAGTAAGCCTCGCATTCGATACAGCGCCTTATCACGTCGTCGAGACGTCTCAAAGCGCTTCACGGGATACACTGTAAAGTGTATTGACTGTGTATTTTGTGGGCGAAACGCGCCAACCAACTGCGCACAGCAGCGTCCCGTAAACAGTAATCGCTCTGCCCGGGAATCGAACCCTCTGGCTCTAACCACTACACTACGGGACTCCGGAAGACCTTACAGCAAAGCCCTTAAGTGCCACTAAATGATTAATGTCCACTAGGTCGGTGGTCAGTCGATTGGCGGGTCGCTTTTCCGGGAGGAATAGTTCCTCCATAACAAAATAATAATAATTTGGTCGCTCAATCCACAGCTGTTTGTGGGGACGTCGCCCACAAAACACGCAGTCGATTCACTTGACAGTGTATCCTGTGAAGCGCTTTGAGACGTCTCGAAGGCGTGACCAGGCGCTGGATCAAATTATTATTAATTTGTTGCCGTGGCTGAAATCGGGAGTGTCTCTTTGACGTCCGCCTGAAACCGCTGACGGGCAAAGGGTGCGGAAACCGAACAATCGGGACACGGAC